CCCCTTTCATTAAGGAGGTGCATCACTCTGTCATAGTTGTATTAGCAGATCTTTATTGTCCCTTTAAAGGGCAATTATGTTGCAGTGTCGGATTAAAAAAAGACTGTTTACACTTGGTATTAACAACCATCTCTAGTGGTCCGATAACAAATGAACAGCTGAGACAGATTGCTGTTTACACCGGTTGTTTTCATGCATCTCAGATGTGTCTTCTGTGACCACTTGTGATCAGATTTCATTATGGCCAGGGTCTCAGTTGTGTCACTTACTATGTCAGTGTGTTGCCTCTAGCTGTTAAAGTGCCAAAAGGTAACACTTTATTACAAATGTGATGTTTTGGTCAGAATGATCATTGTTGTTTTAGTCGAACACCAGAATCTGTGCTTCACACAGATTACAACTCGTATGTATCATGGATCAAAAGAGTTTGAAGTGTGTACTGTACTTAAACAAGGACATTTGAGAACTAATCTGATTCTTCATCTGATTTTTCAATCAGATCTGGTCTGAAATACAACCTTTTTCTAATAAGAGATTATTTCCAGAGATATTTTCCCATTTATTTTTTTCGGTATAGGAATTTTTTCAATAATGCTTCAATAAAGAATGGGTCGTTTTGTTTGTGTGTGTGTGTGTGTGTGTGTGTGTATGTGTTTCTTTCTTTCTTATTTGTTTATGTATGTATGTATTTATGTATGTATGTGCAGCAGTAGACCTTAGTCTGGGTAGCGTCATATTTAATTTTTTTTGCCTCTATTACTTTTTAAAAACTCTTTGCTTTTTTATCCCACTGGTCTGCATCTGTGTGAATGACCTTTAACTCTACAGCAAGATTAATAGCGATAGTTCACCCAAAATGACATTTCTGCCATCATTTACTCACCCGCCTCATGTCGTTCCAGACACAATTTTTATTCATCTTTGAAACTGAAGATAGAGAGACAAATGAAGATAGAGATATTTCAGTCCCTCCATTGAAAGTCTATGCTTCAAAAAGTATCTAAAACATCATAAAAAATTAATCTTATATAAACTGAATCTATATGAACTGACTCATGAGAATTTGATGCACTTTATATGTGTGTGTGTTGATCAGTGTTTATTTAATTAAAAACATTCTAATTTGTGTTTCGGAGATGAACAAAAGTTATGGAACAACATGAAGGTATGTAAATGATGACAGTTTTTTTTTGGGGGGGGGTGAATTATTCTCTATATTGCAATTAATTGTCCACATCCACATATTGTGGCATTTTTGTTTTGCTGTATATTGTAGCACAATATATTGTTACACCCCCAACTGCTTTTGTCAGAATTGTGGGACTTCTGTATGTACTTAACATAAAAACTTACTGTTTTATATTTTGTTTATTTTGACAGATTTTGTTTATTTGTATTTTTTTGTGATTTTACACAATTAAAAAGTGAATGGAAATAGTGTCTCAATCAATAAGTTGACACAAGGCAAAATATTTTATCATCTTAACTAAAAACTTTTAAGGCAGCGAGGAAACAAATGTGCTTAAGATTAATCGACTCATGTATAAATGCATTATATCTATAATCTATAAAAATAAATATTTTCAAGTTGACATGATTTAGCTTGTTAAAACATCACATTAGTTGACTGGACTTGAAAATAAAAATAATAAAAATACAATTATTTTTAAAGGTTGAATCCACTCTGAGGGTAAGATATTTCAAGAAATGTATTGTCAAGATAACAACATTTTTTATATATTATTATATTTTTTTTTATAGTCTAGATTAGTCTAGAGAAAGATTGCAACAGAAATAAATGGTTGGTGCTGAGTGGACATGCAACGGCAGAGAAAACCCCGTCTGCAGGGCCAGAATGGCTACAATAATCCAAACAACCAGGATAAATTGGAACAAAAAAAAAGAGTAGTTTTATTTACATAATTCAGAAAAAGAATAACAAAAGGGTATCAATTTCAGAAGGGGGCAATTAAGGCCAAAAATAACAAACATAACAAGCTAACTCTTTTACAACTAACTAGCTAAGCTACAAAGAAAAGAAAACAAAATACAATAGGCTAAACTAATTTCCTAAACTAGGAGAAAAGAAGTAATGCAAAACAAAATGGCACCCACCTAAACCCAACCAAACACATAAACACATTAAATAATAAAGCTAAATTGACATTAGGCAAATCAAATTAATACTCACTTCTCTTTGAAAAGTCTCAGAGATGTAATCAATGAGACAAAGGACAGAAGCTGTACTTCAACAAGATACACCAAATCACCAAACTTTTCTGAGAAAAAAAGTCGCAATTCTGAGAAAAAAAGTCGCAATTCTGAGAAAAAAAGTCAGAATTGCGAGTTTGTATCACGCAATTGTGAGAAAAAAAGTCAGAATTGTGAGATAAAAAGTCGCAATAATATATATATATTTTTTTTATTCAGTGGCGGAAACGGGCTTCCATACCTTTGAGTATACAGTGGAGTATCCACCTTTTTCTTCAAGGCGGAAGTAAGCCTATGGGTGAGACTTCCGGTTCATTAGCCGCTATAGGTAAATAACGAGGAGAATAACAACGCGCAGTAAACGGTAAAACTGTTTGCACTACAAACCGGTGTGTTCATAATTAAGACGATAATACATTAAAATAATATGATAAGACGCACCAACTTTCAATACCAAGCAGCAAAAGGAACTGTTTTGTTCAGCTAAAAATAGCTGGACGGAGTGGACGCAGATGAGACCGGAAGCCGGACCCATAGAATTATTATTAATTTTTTTTAGACCCATAGAATTTACAAATGGCCGCGCCCGTTTTTATGACAAGAAAAAGATGGATAGAGAGAGAGAGAGAGAGAGAGAGAGAGATGTTACCTTGTTTCCACAGAAACTCGCTATGCGATTATGGGTAGTGTAGAACCTTAATTTTTTTGTTGTTGAAAGGTTTAGATGTGGTCGTTAGAAATCTCTTTCTCTACTGGGCAAATTAATTTTAAATGAATGCCTTTGTTTCACCCCTTGAGTCACTTTAGTACCTTCACAACTCAAATGCAACAAAGTACACCTCAATATTATGAGGTAACAGAATTTTCCTTTTCAGGAAGCTGCTTGGAAAGAGTAGGATATCCCACAGAGCACCTCTGCAGCTCTGCGTCTTTGTTTTGCGTGGTTGGAGGAGAGAGCAGGAGACCCGCACGAGCTGGTACAGGCTTTGAGGAATGATGTTAACCATCCTGTTTAACTTGGCATGCGGAGACAGGAGAAAGCGCCTCTCAGGTCAGGTACCAGCAGACCTTCAAACCGAACTTGCTCGTTCACTCCCTTGTAAAAGCAGCTGGCAGCGCTGCTGGTGGGTGCCAAATAAAGAGCAATTCATCACAATCACAATATTATTAGCATGCTTAATGTGACACTGATGGAGCGTGAAGTGCAGTTTTCACAGAGGACGTATTCAGTTTCAGACCACAAATGCAGGGCTTATTATGATTTCTGTCTTCCTACATGAAATGGCTTATTTTGTTTTAAGTTATGGGGCTTAGACGGCCATTTGACTGGAGAAAATAATCTCGCAGATTGTTTTTGAGGATCACAAACTGTGGCAGCTGGGAAAGACGATAGTGTTAGACTTGCGGTCATAGGCTGTATAGATGCATGATGTGTAGAGCTTTTGAAATTGACGATTGAAATTACTGGGTTAAAAGATTGTCAAACTAATAGAAGTGTGAACATACACCTGAGTCAGAGTCAGAGCTGTCAAGACTCAGCTGAGCGTTTGGAGATGATTATTTACAATGTGCGCTCAGATGGAAATCTGCTCATGCTCAGGCAAGATACTGTATGCATTCATTAATGTGTAATACTTCAATTGAATCATTTCGATACATTCTGAAAATTAATAAGCATGATCATGGGTGTTATAAAATCACACAAATGCACAAGAAGCCATTGAAAACCCCTCCCATAATCAATACAAACCCTTAAATAGGCCTAGATTAGATTTTTGTCAAATGTTATAAAAGATAATGACTTAACAGAGGAAAGCACTTTTTTGCTCTTTCATTTTAAATATGTGGGGCATTATTGTACATTTCTAAGGCATGGTTTATTTCTGATTTATGTATACACACGTTGTGTTTGCCTACAAATACAAAAATTATGCTAAAAATTGTAATTCCTATTTTTTTCATTCATATTAATGACAATAATTCACAGGATTGAAAATAAGTTGATGAATTATAAAAATGAATGTAGGCCTACTACAAAATGTTAGCAATCGATATCTTACCTGATCTTACCTTTTTTGGGGTTGCTGCTTATTTAACTTTTTATCCTTGTTGAGAAATGAGTGAGACGCGTCTGGAAAATAAGTGCAAAATGGCACTGTATGTACAGCACATTTAAAGAGAATTTTTGCAAGTAATACACAGTTGTATTAAGAAAAGAAACATTGTCCATGCCAAATCATAAACAAATCACGACATTTCTTGTCCATTTAAGAATGTCAATTTTATTTCCGTCAAAACGATAAGGAAAATCGTCATTTAAATAGTTGATTCGTTCGATATTGAATCATTCTAATAAAATAACATGCATCAATTAACAATTTCAGCATGTAACAGAAACACTTCACTGGATGAATTCCTGACAAAAACTAATCTCAAAAGTTCGCAAACATTCGACGCGATGCTGTCCACACTGTTATACCTCGGGATAAATGAAATAATTCCTGAGAAAAAAACAATAGTTTCGTGTCAAAATATGCGCTGCTAGTAATTGACACTAGCTAGGTGTCTGTGTTTAGTGGACAAATCCACGTGGCTGTGCACATCTTGCAGCTTCTGGTACTCGTACTGAAAATTGACGACCCGAGGGAAGCCCACTGGATTGAACAGTGCTGAGGACGCGTATGGAGAGGTCGGGGCCATTGCGCAGGCGAGACCCGGGGTGACAGGCTCGATGGCCACTGTTTGGGACTGTTGGAAAGACTTGGCTGTGACAGAGTTC